ATTATTATTGTATCTAAGTAATTTCGGACTTCGGCTTTTACATCGTCCTTGATCGGTCGGTTGCTTTGTCCACACCCACTTTGGTTTCTGATTTTGGTTTAACATTGTCTCCGAATCAGCTAGTAGGAAGACCGAGCAAAGGATTCGTCGCCGAAAACATGCCTCTCTCCGCTTCACATCGTGGTGAATACCTGGATGCACTCTTGCAAGGTTAAGTCAGGACTCCAGGGCGGATCAACCTGCATAACCAGCAATAGGCCAGCCTCAGTACCCCGCCAACCGGGTGATCCCGTCTATGACGTAAGACTGTAAGATGGCCGGTGAGAGGCCACAAAATCTCGTGTTACCCAGAGCCTCAATGCAACCGAATCTGACGACCACACACCATATGCCATGTTGATTGTTCCTAACTCTGCACTTATAGTTCCAGAATACTCCATAGACACCGATCTTCAGGCCTTTTTTGAAGCCGCAAGTACTATAAAATTTTATGTGGCTGCATTGCAAGAAACAAAAATGAAGAAGACCGTCATAGGCTGACTGAACAACGAAAGCCTTGTCATCAACGGAGAATATGTACCTTAACGAGATGTCGGTGGCGTAGGTTTTGACGTCCACCCGTCCATTGGCCATCTTGTCGACTGCCACGAGTTCCTCTCCTCTGCCGTCCTCCGTCTTCAAATAACGCCCCATAAGAATATCGTAATCATCAATTGCTACTCACCGACTGATGCAGCTGACGAGTACGAATTGGATGTGTTCCACACTCAGTTAGAGAAAGTTATCCGCAACGATAAAGCGTATTATAAGTTTATAGTCGGAGACTTCACAGCCAGAATAGCAAAGACCAACAAGTGCGAATACAAGATGGGAAATTTTGGACTAGAAAAGGAATTGAGAATGGAAACTGTCCCGCAGGACTCTCGAATGCAGCACGTCTTTTTCAAGGAAACTCGTTTTTTCCAGAAGCAAAAAAGCCGCTAGTGGCCATTGGTGGTGCTGATCACCGCCTTATTCGCGCGAAGATTCTATTCATCAGTAATCTGAAAAAGAATTCATGCTATTGAACACATTGATACAGTCTAGCTATGTGTGACGACAACATTCTGAGAGAAAGCTTATCTAGACGTAATTGACAGATTAAGGAAGACGCGACCGCAGAATACGAGCTGCATGTCGAAGGGCTGAAAGGGTGCGCCGAATATTCCTCACTTCCCCAAACAAGAACGTATCGCATCTCCATTACCACTGAGGAGTTGCTCGAAAAAAAGGAAACTGATCTTTGATCATAATGTAACATGTTTAACACGGCTAATAATGAGTGACAGCTGCAGAAGAGCTTTGCAGGAAGATCTGCATCGTTACAAGCGGAAGAAACTACTGGAAGGAGGACAGAAAAGAAGCAGTCTGCAAAAATGTCGTCGGGACTCCTGTGACTCTAATATCCCGCTGTCAGCCCTAATGGACGAAGATGGTATCACCAAAACTTGTCGCTATAATATGGAATTAATAACGGAAGCGTTCTACACCAACCTTTTCCGTTTCACAATACCCGTCCTGGATCTTGAAACCACCGCAGAAGAAAAACCACCGGGAATTCTTCCGTCGGAGGTTCGAGTTGCGATAGAAAGCATGAAAAGAGGCGCAGCTCCAAAACTTGATGATATCGCTGTGGAATTTCTTCTCTCCAGCTGTTCTGTTCTCTTCTATACAGAACTGTGTCCACTGTCATTGAAGCTTGTCGGGCTCATGCAAAAAAAAATGACAATGTCGAAGCGAATGCAACCCTACCAGCGCTCGTCGACCAAGGAGTCGATCTTCCCTATATAAGGACTTTATCTGACTGTTATCGAAACTGCACTACTAAAATACAGCCATATAGCTTTTCCATCGACTTCTTACCAAACCGATAGGAAAGGGGGTTCGACAAGGCGACACCGCCGAAGCTGTTTAGTACCGCATTGCAAATAGACAATGAAGTAACTCGATTGGGAACAGAAAAGCATACGTATTGACGAAATTCCGCTACCAAACCTTCATTTCGCCGATGATATCTTCCCAAGAGGTACCAGCGAAGTGACCAACGAGCTCAACGAAGCGAAAAAAAAGCAGACTGCGTATAAATGAAAAGAAGACCCAGTTCATGGAAAACCCACGGTGGAAAAAGTGGGAAGTTTTAATCACTGCTCGTTCGACAAAGTCTGCGAAGTAAATTTACAAATTTAATATAATCTCATGGTCATCATTGATTTGGAAAGGATGGTGTTGCGCAGTGATAAGAGGTGCCTTGAAATACACGTGGGTTCGATACCGCTCCCTAATCCCACAAATCCATCCATTCCTTCGGAGTCGGCAAATTGTGGCCCCACTTGTCTGGGAGTATAGCAGCACTGGGTCGATACATCGGTAGGCCACTGCGAGTCATTGCATAGGCCAGAGTGTGCAGGCGCATCCCTTAGGAAATGATCAACGTCGAGGGCTTCATCATTTTTGTCAATTGACTTGGCAGAGCATCTCAGCGTCTTCGCTGACGGATTCACATCACAACCTGTTAATCTAGCCATTCTGTTTTGGAATATAATGATGTGAGAGCTATTCACAGGACCGGCTTTCTTTTAACCACGGCAATGATCTATAATTCACAGTTTTCTCTTGATAAGTAAACAGAGCTTGTTATTGCATCATTTATTAGAATACAACAGCTAACGTTTTGTGATTGCTCTAGAATTCCAGGTAGCTCCATTTCTCTGAATCCTTGCAGCAAAATTGAGTGATTTGTGCATTCCGCCAACGAACACTACACATATCATGTTGGTACTCGAAATCACAGAGCTATTCTTGGACATCGACATTTGTGGACATTAACTCACTCGATACAAATGAGTCATTGAAAGATCTCTTTGTGCATGCAGTTCAGCAGCGTCTACAATCAAACAGTGGACGAGGAACGTCGTACGCATGAGCTTTGAGCACGTACTCGGATATTAGACAATGTCTGGCTACACTTTCCGTCAAGTTTCTCAAAAAATGTCCGTCATGTGGCCGAGCAGTTTGTATTTCAATGGTGTTTCCAAGGTTGGAGAAACAACCGTATCACCTCAATTTAGCCTTCTTGCTATTCAAGAGTCTTCTGAGGTCAAAAACATATTAATAGGAAAGAAGGGGTATCTAATGAAGATGTAAGCAGTGTGGGTAACTAACATCGTAATATATTAAAAAACGAATGTTAGCGCATGTTGTTTAGTGATTCCTTTGAGTAATTGTTTATTGGATGCATTGTCTTATGCACCCTTTTTTGAACAGTCCTTCAGCAATCCTCATCGTGGTTTTGGAACTCATCGATGTGCTAGTGATGTCTTCCTTTAGGAGCAAATCACAGATCTGAACCCGCCTTCAGCTTATCAGCTCTTTTATCTTCCCAGAGTAGGAAAATCGCTACCAGACTTATCTGGAAACAGCTCACTCCTTCTAATCAGCGTTAGACCGCCTTAGAGTGGCTATTGCATCGTTCGGGAAAGGAACGAACCGACAAGCATTCAATGAGTCTTTTAACTAAAACGGAAATCCTCAAGCAGCAGCGGAGCCCACACATCAAAGGGTCGAGCTTCTTCGTAACTAGTGGACAAGAAAAACGAATCGTTTGCGAGGAGTGCTGGGATCCGCCCAGTAAATATGAAGACGGATTGCTTACTTACTTAGTACTTGAACGGCCTGTCATTACTGCTTGTGCGGGCCCCAGCATAATCTCTATTTTTCAGAGATTTGCTGGTTAAGCCACTGTGGTTTTCTGGAATCCAGGGGTCAGCCTAGCCAAAGTCTGCTCCAGGTCTTCACCACCACAGGCAATTGCAGCTCTTGTGGATCAGAGGAAAATTTGCCACCATACGACTTTGATATCAGAATGGTGGTAGATTTTGGTGTTGGTTTACTCTTAGCTAGGCTTTCTGATGGAGACGCCGAACCAATTCTCGGCTTGGGAGACCCTGCCAAGGGATGATGAATCCCCGCTGTATATAGCAGTCTGACACCCAGGAACACCTCACAGCCACGATGAGGTGGTAAGCCGTTGTGAGGAAAGGCAGATTATTTGGAAGAATTCAAGTATGTGTTGTTAATTGTTACGATGCTGTACTAAATAGCAACTGTGCAAAAGCGCAACAAGAATACGCACATATTATTTAGGAGACTTTTAAAAGTGATTTTCTCTCCGAGTTCTTATTTGTGAGTCACGATATTTAGGTAATATTCCGGAATTACATTTCCAATGAAATAGATGAAAGCTCATCTTAAGTTATTCTAACCACACCTATGTTTTTGTCCAAATAAGAGAAGGCGCGGTTTCAAGGACAGAACGAAACTGAGCTTGCAAAGGTTGGGATAAATAGGGGATGCAGCACCCATCTGTGATCACATCCTGTGGGATATTTCATGCATTCGGCTTCGCTACACGTCATAGAGAAAGTTGGACGTACAACACTCTTACATAGTGACTTGGTCTGCCGATGTATCAGGTCAGTTGTCTTAAACCGACAGACAAGTTTGGCACTAACCCACCAATCCTGGTGTGGTAGGGGATTTGGTTAGTCTGAAGCGCGAGATCGAGCCAACGACCACGTTTCATTGAGGGACACTTTTGAACACTGATTACACACGCTCTTGCTTAAATTTTTACATACATATATATCCTGTTTGACAGAACAGTACCTCATTTTATCTCTTAGTCATCGTAGTAACTCGCTCAAAATTACCTTCTAAACGCATTCGTAGAACTTGACAAAGTTCCAGGAGGCGACATATGTTCAGCTACATTTTGAAAGCGAACTCAATGGTTTAATGCACAATAAAGAAGGTAACAGCATTTTTCTCTTTATTACGATAGAATTTTTTCGTTGAAAAGCTGGAAGAGAACAAAATCGAGAAAACCTTCCATGCAATTCAAGAGCGGCTTGATGTGGTCCTTGAGAATGATCAGAACATTAAGACGCAATGAATAAATGACTTCACAGCACAGAAGAACTTTTATTAGTGCCTTCAGGTACTGCTGGTGTCTCCACATGACCTGCTCCTGAAATAGCAGATTTTCGATTATGCGCTGACACTGCCGTATTTAGACGATAACTCATGATCTGCTCACCTTGAACTGAATTGCAAGAGTCTGCCGTTGCATAGTCAGCTTTTAATTTCTCAAATAAGTCTTGTACCATTTTACCGATCACGCTAAGACAGAGAGCTTGGCTTGCCCGAGAGCAGTATTGAACCAACGACCGAGCGTATTAAAGCGAACCTGTAATCACCGCACAATACGTGATAGCACCTACGAAAACATTTAAGTGAACCTATACAGTGGTGTTATAACAACGGAAAATCGTGGTACAAATTCTTCAATGCATTTGAGTTTGCATGCACATTGCACACTTGATTTTAAGCGAACATTTCGGTAATGTATTCAATTTCTATACTTTTAAGAAAGTTTACAGACTTCTCTTCCGTTTCAAACGAATCCCTTTGGCCAACCGCAAGCGGATGACGCAACACCAAGATGGAAGCTGGACGATGATGCCGTTCTAAAATAGCGGCGACCGCAGCGGAGAAAGCATTCTGAAAAGAAAGCGTCATTGTTGATACAAATCTTGACTTTGAAAACGCTTTAACAGCTTCAAATAAAAGTTATATTGGTGCAAACATTTTTTCGAACCACTAGAGAGTAGCAATCTCGGTGTTGTTTAAATGAAAACTTTGTATGAAGCCAGTTAGAACGTTATTTTGTGGAAGTGATACCGTGATACCGTCAATGGACATTAACTCCCCTTTTACTCACAAGGGTGGTGAAAACCAAAAAAAAGCTTTTGAAAAAGCTTGTGTCTTCAATATATCAAGATTCTGTGGAACGCTGTAAGAGAAACCTTCACCCCAGGCCAGATCGAGCCGCGATTACTCTTTGTGGCGGTTTACATGCTACCCAAGGCACCACTGAGGCAACCGTTCTTGCTGTTTATTGCTTTATCTGCTGAGGTTATGGAAGCGCTTGGCTGAGCGGATGGATGTTAATTTGGCCCTTCCAAGCATTGAAGAAAGCGAAGCCGCCAAAACGTTGGCTGTTGTAATTTAATAAATGCCGTAATCTTGGCGTTTAATCATTGTTAACTCATTCATTAAAAGAGGGCGCGTGTGGAGCAGTGGCCGGAGGCTCCCTGCAACACACAGGCGGAGTCGATCTCGGCGCCCGTGGCCCACCAAGCCTTCCATCTGTCTGAGGTTGGTAAATTGGTACCGGACTTTTCTGGGATAATAGCAGCACTGGCTGGATACATCGGTAGGCCACCGCGAGTCATCGTAAAGACTAGATTTGCATCCAATCACCTTCGAACGAAGCTTGATGAAGTCGAATGCATGGCGCATCTCTCAGGGATTGATCAACGTTGAGAGCTTTATCCTTTTGTAGTTGTCGTCAATATACTGAAGGTATTAGTTATAATACTTTCAAAACTACAAACTCAAGGAAATGGTATCAATGAATAAAGATAAATATATTTGTTCAACCAAATGAGAGCGTCTCTGGCTCTCGTCAGAGTGCATTTGTCTGCCTATTGATGTGCATAACAAAGCTCATTTACTCGACGATAAGAAGGAGATGTAGTGTACATAGTGATTATAAATCGGTGATGAATAGTACATTTTCTTAACACGTAAAGACTTTCTGCAAGCATGAAGAAAGTAGTTTTGGCTGTAATAGGCGTGAATCAGCTGTGTCGCCTACGAAAATGTACAGCGGGATAAAATATGCTGCATGGTAGCATACGAATTATAACGACTGAAGAAAAAGTGTTGTGGCAGGGAAAAATCTTGGTTTTTTATTCTGTATACTAGCTTAGTTATGATCACCAGGGACAAAGCTCCAAAACATTCTTACCACGCTCAATCATATTTATTAAGCTGCTTGTTTTTTCTATTTCTCATTTCATGTCTTGGTTTGATAAACTCATTACAAATAGATCGCCTTTCATAGGAAGATACCTCTAGCGCAAAGTGGCATGAAACCACCTGGCGACTACGGCTACAGTTCTTGGCGCGTGCCCACCACATACTCGGTTGACCGTGCGTAAACCTTTGCTATGTCTACTACAGGCAGCACTCTCATCCGATGGTAGATCGGATTTTCAAAAACCTACTTCAGCAATATGTGACGTTTACGCACCGAGCCCTTAACGAATGCGAATCCCACCAAAAACAAGTTGAATTTACGCTTGTCGACTGTACTGCGGTAGAGTCGCTATGTATTGAAATAAATGCACCGAAGGTGCACCTTCAGGAGGCATACACTAAAATTGTCAAAATTCATAAGTGGCGGAATCTTCAGGAATCTGATGGGAGTAGGTGCAGTATTTCCTAAGACTCCATTGTGAAATATGGCTTGCCGCGAAACATCAATTGATGCTGTTACTCAAATAGAGAAACATTCATTATTAAATTCTATTGACCCCATGTTCACTCATTGAGGAGTACATATTCCTTCTAATTCCTTTGAGAGAATGTCTTGTAGAGGCGATATTGCACATAATAACACGTAATAATCCCTTTTATTACTCTTCCAAGGCCACCAACACTAATATGGTTACTATTCCTTAAATAGTTCCTTTTTCTACGCTACCTTATGTCTTCTGCAATAACTGTTTTACTTGTAACCGTTCTACATCTATTCTCGCACATGGTGTAAATTGTCTCTCAACGACCATTTCATGCAGTTGCCTCACAGGTGATTGGGAAGAGAATCAGCAGCAGTCGGCTGAAAGTACTTTCCAGCACCTGCCGTCTCAGAGGAATTTCCGAACGAGCAGCTTCGCCTTTCACATGTAGCCCTATCAGATTGTGCTAGCAGAAAAAAAACCTTTAGAACGTCTCTCTAAGTGCTGTCTTTAGTTCCCTCTGGCAGAGTTCCACCCACTACAGAAGTAATACGGGCAACCCATCTGCATTCGTCTTCAAGTGTTCGTAGCGTTCGTCCAGTGTTCATCCAGTCCCTCAGTTCCTCAGTGCTCCAACTCCAGTGTCTGCCCAGCTTTCTTCAATTGTATCACTTGTTCTCATTTCATTCTCGCTCGTATATACCCAGCTAACCACATATCGTCACATATCACCTACTATTATTGTGCTGTTGTTATTGCTATAAACTGTTGTAACCCAATGTCGAGGTTCTTCACGGCAGTTACGGAAAAAGTTCCGCGTGGCGAATCCATACAAAGCCGAGCATTCCACGTACAGCTGGCGGACAAAAAACGAATCCGACAAACTCCCTAATCGGACAACCTCACGAAGTGAAACCTACGTGCAAGTACGTTTATTTGCCATATATCAGAACTATAAAAGGAAAAAAATATCGAACACTCTTTGCTCTTGCTTGGGCGCACTAACAAGGGCCATTAATCGCCTCAAATCCTCATTTAACAAATACGACCAGAAGATAAACTCTCCAGTAGACATCCCTCCCAACGAACCTCAACGAACGGAATACCTCGTTGCAGAGAAAGACGCTGTAAAATAAGCAAACATCGGCCACTACAAAGGATCGAGGGCAGTCTGGAGGCAACACTGGACAGTTACACTAAAGCGGCAGACAACTTCGAGCTGCAAACTCCAATACCAGAGGAACTAAAGGAAGGTATAAAACTGAACGTGAATAGGACACCGGAACACATCGAGAAGACTACCTCTCCAAGCTTCTCGAGCTATGGAATAAACTAGACAGCACAAGAAACAACGCTCAAAATGACTCACATACCGCTCCACCGGTGACAAATCTTCCACCCATTGCCGTCCACAACTTCAGCGGAGATATATGGGAATGGGAGGCATTTTGGAGAAAATTCGATCGCTCCGTCCATTCAAGGCAGATGGACGACCATCTCAAAATAAACTATCTATTAAACTCTCTTTATGGGAAGGCTAGAATTTTCATCAAGCAATATGAAATTTTACGAGAATCCTATCCCATAGTCATAGATCATCTAAGGACCAAGTATGGCATCATCTAAGGACCAAGTATGGCAAAAAACAAGCCCTCATAAATCAACAATTGGGCAGACTACAGAGAGCACAAGCAAATAGCGAGCGACTAGAAGACCAAGAAATATTGTGCGAAACTCTCCACTCGATAGTCTGCCAACTACATCATGAAAGACAACAAGTTGATAACATGTATCTCCAACAACTCCTGAAAAAGTTCATGGAAAAATTCCACGACACGCTCTACGAGAAACACAGCATTGCCGAAACGACGAAACGCCCAAAACAAAGGAGCTCTTTCAAGTAAACAACGACTACATAGCCCAAGATATGACAATAGAAAGCCAACTAGGCAAGTCTCCAGTTCCAAGAAACCACCGCAACAATACATCGATTAAAAGTTCACTAGTAACCACGAGTCATCATCGAACACTCGTAAAAAAACCGCAATCATGTTTTTACTGTAACAAGATAGGACACTTACTAATCCACTGTACTACGATAAAAACTGAACTAGAAAGAGTAAAAGTGATAAAAGATCGCAATCTTTGCAGCAATTGCGGTTCCTCATGTCACCGCAAGCCCGAGTGCAAAGCAGGCCTGTGCCGAAATTGTAACAAGCACGGACACCATACTTCCATTTGTAGGTACCAGCACCTACCAAGCAAACCTAAACCGTGGAACGAGGTCCAAGAGAGAAACCAAAGCCACACAACCTAACAAAAGGGAGGAGAACGACCCCGCCCACGGTCAATACGGTAACTTCCAATGAGACACAAGGCGATCACTTCATTGCTCTTCATACTATAAAGCAATATGAATCCAGAGTACAGATTTGGGCGACACAAGTAGTGATACTCAACCCAGACAAGACTAAAAAGAGGTAGTCGAAGTGCTAGTAGATACGGTAGCCGATTGATCATTTATTACTAACGATTTAGCCAAGACCTTGCAATTAAAAGACGCGTGCTCAAGTGAGTTAGCAATTCACAAATTTGGAGATTTCAAGCCAGATACAAAGACATACAGAATCACCTTTATATTGTGAGATACTCACGGAGCAGAACACGAAATAGCGGTGACTAGAACTAACACGATCACACAGCCATTAAAGCGCTGCAGCCTAACTGTGGAAGATCAGGAATTTCTCCATCGGAATAACACTCCTCTTTCAATAGATCTAACCCGCAGCACTATTCATCCT